AAAATTGGAGTCACCTTGCCTCCCCTAAGGGAAGGGCTTTAGGAAAGAGGGAACAGGGGAGGGAATTACTGGTTGGTTGGAATGAAAGACGGAGCGGCTCAACCTAATTGGCACAGAAGTAGCTATGCAGAGTATTAGAATTTAAGAAGTCTGAAGGTAGTGTGGTATCAAGGTGTGTAAAATGCTGTTTAAAATTCCTCACTCTCATTAATTTAGGCTGCCATGACCAACAAGACAGCTTGATGAGGAATTTCCCAGCCTTCCAAGATCGCTTGACCCCAGCGCCAGGAAGAGACAAGCAGCTCTTTTCCTTCCTTCCAGACCTCCACAAACTGAGCAAGATGTCTCTATGCAAATATCGGGTTCTTTTTAGAAGCAAAGCACACATTCAAAGCTCAGAAAGAATGGTTGATTGTTCAGAAAGATGCAAAACACCCATTCAATGCTTCGCATGACAGAAAGCCCACGAAACAAAGCCCCCTGATCATTAGAATGATCATCCTTCATGAAAGCAGGTGGAGGGAGTCATATATATTAATAAAAGAGAGGTCGCTGCACTTAGAAAGTTTGTAGGGCAAGAAGAGGGATTTCCCCCCTGTTTTCAGGCCACATTTCTATAGGCAGGCATTACCCCATACCCTTTCCCCCACACACCAAAGTTCCCAAATAGGCTACAGTATGGCCAAAAAGCTAAAATAGGGTTTACACTGATTTGGCCTTTTGTGTTATCCATCCATCAGCCTAGCTAATTGGCTATCCTTATGGGGCTCATATGCTGGCTATAGGCTCCCTGATGGTTTGGATCCTAGCTAGATAATTTCCACTCTTGCTCAAATGCATTTCACTAAACTTTCCCAGGTAATGATCAGCAATGGTTGTTGGTGTCTGTTAATTTCACAAGAGGATTCTATCTTAATTTTGGTTTTTTTAAATAAACCCTACCCTTCCCATTTAAGTTCTCTGTCCTTTGGGATCTGAAAGAGGTGTCTGGAATGGTGCTGTTTATAACTTATCCGGTGTTTCACTCATACTTCCTATGAATCATAGGAAAGGTTGACATCTTCCTGATACTCAGATTTCCACGCATCCTGTATTTACTGCCTGACTTGTTTCATATGAGCTCTCAAGTCCAGAATTTACCTTTCGGTTGAGCAGATGGGCCCCTTTCATGTGTACTATGGAATGCACAACACAGACCAACATGTGGATTATACACATGTGAAATATCAACTTGGGGGGGATGAGGTCAGTTGGGGGATGGGAAGGAGGGACATCGGAGAAAAAGGAGGTGGATCAAGAACATGATTTTCTGCCCCATCACCCAAAGGCTACAAAAGTCACCAGAATTTTTCTGATTAAGAGAACTGAGGTAATATCTTGTAAGTTTATCTCGGACACAAACAGTGTTAAGAAAATGGTTTTTACATATCTTTGGTTGAAGAACAAGGCACTCATCTATCATTCTGACAACCATATTCTTTCTCTCTCTTTCTTTCTCTCTCTCTCTCTCTCTCTCTCTCTCTCTCGCTTGGGAGTTTGGAGGGTTTGAAAGAAGAGGGGGAGTCAAGTAGAAAAAGGTGAAGGCTGATTGGCTCCTGTTTTGCCAAAGGGGTGTAATGCCCTCCAGGTTGGAGTCCGAACTTTAACACACACACCCCTTTTCTCTCCCTCTCCAAATCAATGGATGGCATGACTAGAATTCAGAACCATGCAGAGGTGTTGGTCGGACTCAAACCCAGAACGGATCCACCACCGCCACCACCAAATCGGAAGCCAGCCGTTCAGGACCAAGAGGGAAGAGGGCGGTTCAACGTCCGTACATTCCGGTGCAAACCAGGCAAGAGAAACAAAATCTTTGGTATCAGGTGTGATTTTAAAATCACAAAAATCGAAAACTCAAGTGAGGTAGCCTATATTTTCTGGTTCTCACTAAAATGTCTTTGCATGATCGGGGTGTGGGGCAGTAGGACCTCTTTCATGGTGTTCTTCAAGGTGAGATCAGACCCCGCTTTCTTGTGAGTTTTTTTCCCCTTCCATTTTTTTTCCTCTCTTTTTTTGGTGTGGCTTCTCAGCCCTTCAATACTTTACAAAACCAGGCCTGGGAACCCACCGTAGTCCTCCTCTGTCATTGGTTTAGCGTAGACACATCACAACAAGACAAGAAGACCGAGCGGCCGGGGTGGGTGGGTTAGGGGACACTCCAGGGGATTCAGACACTGGGAAGAAAGAAGATTTAGGAGATTCTGGGGGGAGTTTCGGGTTGGCGGGGGTTTCCTCTCCTTTTAATCCTCTTCACCCCCTCTTCTGTTTTTGGCAAAAATGTACCTCTGTGTTTCTTTACATTCCCTTCTCCAGCATGCTTCGTTCTGCGGTCCCTTTGCTCGGTTCTACCATTCGCCCCTGATTGGACACGCCCGAGAGTCCAGATTGGGACGTCTTTTTCTCTCTCCTTTTTTTCTGAATTTAGGAACTGTGGTGACCGTCGTCCCATCGGTCTCCTTCCTCCTTCTATCGTCTTAGCCGGTGGTCTTTTTTTTTTCCCCTTTTTGGTCTTCCTCTTTTTTTTCATTCCAGAAGTTCGCTCCGCGTGTTCGTTCCCGAATGCCGGGAGCAAAAAAATAAAAAGCCAACCCCCCCCCAAAAAAAATGGCATTGCGCAAAGATGGTCCTCTGTTACCCGCATGGATTTGATCATTGTCCCATTAGAAAATGAAGACGACACACACAGAGATACGCAGAAGAAGAACCCCATGGTTACCGGTAGACGGCAAGGTGTTATCCTTACACCTTCTCCATCCATCCATCCCAGGCAAAAGGGGTGGCTAAGGGATAAGATGGTTCCAGCCAGACACGAAAGGCTTGGTGGGTCGGAGGGCATCTCGTGTCCAGTGGACCACATCATTTTTGCCACACGACGGCCTTGGGGCCCTCTGTGGCTCCGGCATCTGTCGAAGGATTTTTTTTTTTGCCCCGAATTACAGAGATTGTACCCACTGTGTATCTGTCTTCTGTTTTTAAGGCTGGATGCTGATTTCACACACATACACTCACATACACACAAAATGGTGGGTTATCTTTCATATGTTGCCAAAGATTCTTCTTATTTTGGGGGGCGGGGTAGAGTTTATTCTTCTTCTCACTTTTGGGGTAAAACAGGGGGTTTGTGTTTTTTCATTTCGCTCCGGCCACCGTTCCACCGCCGTCTGAATTTCAAGATCTCTTTCTCGACTGAACGCCCAACATTGAACCACACACCCCCTATTTCTCTCATCCTTTTTTCGGCCATATCTTGTTTCTAGTCTGCCCCCGCCCCCCCCCCCAACAATTCTAGTTGAAAAAACAGACAAGGAAAAAGGTTAGCAGAAAAATAGGAGACTCTGGTGGACAGACTGAAGAGGTGGACAGACCGAATAATCTGGGCTTAGCCTTTGGAATGAAATCAAGATTGATTAGAAGGTCAGCTGCCGGTCCAGCGTCAAGGAAGGAAAAATCCGCTCCTATGCTTCTTTCTCTTGATTCCTTTAAAGCTTTTTTTCAAATACCCGATTTATGTACCTAAAATGTGCTTCGTGACCCGCTTTATTTCTAGGTTACACAGTGCAATTTAGCTTGGGATCCCCCTCCCCACTACTGATTCAAGGGGGAGAAGGGGGGTGCCATTCTTTGGAAAAGTCTCAGCTTCCTTCTCCCCCCTATTCAAACTTTGGCTCAAAATTCCTTTCAGAGGAATCAAAAAAGAACTAGAGTCTTCTCTTTTGGCTGAATTATTTTTTTCTTGGTGAGTTCGGACCATAGAGTAGAGCGTTTAGGAAAGCTTAAGGAGGATTTTCATGGAACCCCCCTTCAAGAAAACCAATCCATGGATGGTAGAGAATGGATATGATAAAGGGGATTGAACTGGGATCAAACTGAAGGCAGGAGAGATGTCTATGAAGACAGCTTGATGATGTTTTGAATATGCTTTTCTGAATGAACTTCCATGCTCTTGTTAATGCAGGAACCAGGATTTTTTAAAAAATAAAATAAAATAAATCCTCACCCATTCTTGCCTTGCAATGCCTCCTAAGCCACACTACCTAAATGACCATTAACTATCATCAGCGCCGGCAGGTAACAACACCATGTTCTCAATGAACAGCAGATTATTCCCACACGACTCAGTCGAATGCTTTTTTCCCTATATCAAGAGTGGTCCTTCTCAGCTGTGTAAAAATGGCTTTTGTTTGAAAGGGAACAGAGGCAAGTAACTGGACATTTTAGGCCTCAGAGGTGCCCCAGAGGAGAAGACACTCTATTCTTGTGTCTTGCTGGTACCACCATAGCTGTAGTGGGAAACCTAAATGGGTCCAGGACTTAAAACCGTGAAATGGGAGAAACCCAAATGGGAAGGAGAATCTTATAACTGCACCTTGGTGAGCTGTACCAGTTGAATAAGATATTAGATCTCCTGATTCTTTCCTCACCCCTCCTTAAATTATCTGGTACTGGAGTCTTTTTAAGGACTCACACACTCATTTCTTAGATGGACTAAGATGCACAACAGCTATTAAGGCTGATGAGAAGTTAATTCCCTACTTAATAATAATGATGTGACCTCAAGCCCATTCTGATTTCATCTTTCAACTTCAAGACAGGCTTCCTTGAAAATGTGTGAAAAGCTAATTACTTTTATGTGTGTTTGGCCATCAGAATGACACAGTACCCCTTGACATTTACAGGAGGGGAGGCATCCTTCTGCAAAGCCAAAATGTTTGGGGTGGCTTATAGGATGGAGTGAGGAAACGCCACCCCTCCCCACAGAACCGCTGTGGATTTTGAAGTTGGGAGGTGAACCCTGGATCCTTGTTCAAGGTTGCCCCCTTAGAGGCATCGACTGGGTGTGGTGATGAAGTACCCATGGTTAGATGAGGTTCCTCGGTTTGCCCTTCGGTGTGAAGATGGGAGGACATGAATTTGTGGTGGGATGTGGCGGGGAAGGGCGGGAGGGAGGACGTGACCGGTCATGCTTTGGAAAAAGTGCTTGCCGACGAAGACGGGACCCCGGGATTGGGGCCGGGGTCTTCCTGCCAGCGGTTCATGCACCGCCGGCGGGCATTCATGAAGAAATTGCTGACAGTGTTGAGTTCCAGGCCCAGCTGCTGGGAAATCGTCATTTGCATCTCCTTGGAGGGGCGCTTATTCTCCTTGAAGATGGCGATTAGGGTCCGGCGCTGGAGGTCGGTGAAGACCAACCGCTGCTTCTTGGGCTGTAGGTTCCGGTCTTTCTGTTGCTCCTGCTCTTTACGCTTGCACGCTGCACGCCAAGGTGGGGGGGTTGTTTAAGAGAGAAAAAACAAGATGGAGGGAGAGAGAAAAGAAGAAGACTATCAAAGCAATTCTGCTCAGCTCTGTTTCCAAATATCCCCACTGCCTGCCAAATCTGGGAATCAGCTGCCCCCCATGCCCCCAAGGAAGACACCCTCCCCACAGTGTCAATTGGCCATGGATTAAATTTCCGTGGCTTGTCATTTGGACTCTCTGCACTCTTTCCTTTAAAAGTAACTGCACCCATAGCCCATTTTTCTCTGGATAAGCAATTTTCTCCACCTTCTACAGACCACTTTCTGTATATTCCCATGAAATATATTTTGCTCCTGGAACTCAGGGAAGGGGCTCTTTCTGGGCCAGGCTGGTTCTGGGCACCAGATGGCCTTATCAAAATACTCTCTGGCTTTCAAGGTTCAAAACGATGGAGGCAACTTTTGTTATTAAAATAATGTTCTCTGTTATCTGCAGTTTTCAGCATCTGCAGGGGCAGGGCATGGAACTGATCCCCTGCATATATGGGGGGGTCCTACTGTATCCCAACCAATTAACATTTCCCTTAAATAATTAATTGAATAATGTTTGCTTCCCATTCAGGGGTGTCTCCCTATCTGGGTGCCCTTCAGATGTTTTGGACTACATCTCCCATGGGCCAACATGTCTGTGTTTGTGAGAGATGTAGTCCAAACCGCCAACGCTGGCGACCCCAACATCAGGATGTATGGTGAATCCATGCTGCCTTATGGCCTGATCTTTAGAAGAGCTAAACATTGAGGGAGAGTTTCAGCCCCTGGAGAGTTCATTTAGATTTCGGACTAAAATCCAGAACGGATTCACTGAGACCACCCCAAGAAATTGGAGCCACAAGCCGGCAGCACTCAACTAGGGCAAGTCTGTTGAAACCGTGGACTTTGCCTTCATTGTTTCAGTAGGTCTACTCTAGCTGGAACTAGCCATTCAACTTAAATTTTTGCCTCTTTCTTCTCTAACAGAAGACCAGATTTCAATTCACGTACGGATTGGGTGCAGTTTATCTATCGCAGTTTAAACCCCCGGCAGAGGAATAAGAAACCTACCCTATGGCCATCAGATGCTTGCAAAGGAAACAAACACAAATAAACCTTTTTTGAACATAAGAGCAATATTTCGCGTGTGCTTTTTTTCTCGTTAAATCAAAGAGAGACACCAACACATTTAAAAGGAAACGCAAGAAAGCGAAAGAGAGAGAAAGAGACACACATTCGCACATGAGATCAAAAGGACTTGCCAGAGACAGAAATTTCAGCCCTTCTTACCTTCACCACCTCCCACACAAAATTTGTCAAGAGCGAAATATCGTAAGAAATGTAGAAAACCCTGAAGAAACAAAAACCTGCAAAACCCAGCAAAGAAATCTGGCACAGAGCACAAATTAAACCCCCAAAGATAGCTTAGGAAACTTCCACCGTGGGTCTATGAGAGGGGCTCGTTCTCATCCAGCGTCGGCAACACCCAGTAGCAGAATGCGCTCTGCTGTGTTAGGCCATTGGAAAACACAAATAAAGAGAAGGATAAGAAAGAAGCCAGATGTGTTGAGCTTTATCGGCCTCCTCTCTGTTGTCAGCCAACAGTCATCATGCTAGGCTGAAAAGTTGAATCGCTTTAAGAACCTGTATGACTCCTTTTTTTACCCCTCTTCCCTCCTCATGCTCTTTTCATTTGGTGTTATGTCTCTTTCTTTTTTAAAAAAATTGTAAACCTGAAAACAAAATCTCTTCTTCACCCCCCTTTCAGATTAGGCTGCAAATCAATCTGAGACCTTTCCCCACCTGCAGTGGAGGGTTAGAGATCTGAGTTTCCAGAAGTAGGAATTATAATTATATAGTTACCCTTAAAAATCAAAAACAGATCAAATCTCTCCACCTGTTTCTCAAAAGTAAATGAAACAGTTATAATTTAGCTTCTTGGTAGACATCCGAATGCAACTGGCCTGTGGTGTAAAGCTATACCATCTGTTGGTCCATCTAATGTCCTGAGCAGAACACGAGGCAACAATATGAGCCAGCACCGGAACCATGTAGTATTCCTCCCCTGCCCAAGACTAACAAAATAGCAAAACACTGTAATTCTACCAGAACAGGAGTGTTCCTTCTCCTCAAAAGGCAACACAACTGTCATGACAAGAGATCCACCAGGAAGTGCTGGGCAACTTAAAGACAAAGGTGTTATATCGGCCACGTACGCCCATAGTCTCTGTCTTCAGAAGCAAGCACATAAAACTGGTTGGACTTTAAAGGATCACAAGCTTGTTTTTGCCAATTCATGTGGTTCTGTGCAGTTGCATCCGATTTCGGGTGACCCTAAAAGCATATTTTTTTTTAGTTCTGTGAGAGGTTCAATGAGTGGCTTCCCATGGCCACCGTAGCCAAGCGGGGATTTGAACCCAGATCTCTAGAGTCTGATATTTTCTCTGCTACATCACACGGTCTCTTGGCGTAACAAAAGATTATAATGTGACTTTGTGAAGCCTCCCTTTCTGGGGTGGGGGTGAGGGGAAGAGAGGAGTTTTCCACCAGATCACGTGTTATTTGTAACAGGTTTATTCCAAGTATCGCGAAGGAAAACAGGAAACCTTGGAGAATTTTTTTTGCTTCCTTGAAGAGAGAAGCAGAAACGCGTTCCGCAAAAGGCATCTTAACATGCCCGCTTGCAGCTCGATATAATTACAGCTTCACCAAGCTGAGATCAATAACTACCGTAGTCCGATCTATACACAGAGGAGCTCCGAAGCCACAACTGAGGGAGGCCTTTCATATTTCTTGGTCCCCCGTGGATGATTGCCTAGGCTATCTTGATCTAGCCATCAGGAGACCCGGGGGGTGTTTGTTTGGTTGAATGCAACCCTTCTCTGGTTTACAGACCTACGGAGAGTTGTCTTTTGGCAGGGGGGAACTGAGAAATCGAGAGAGGGATAAATAGCAGCGTGGGTTTACAGTTCTACATTCTTCATGTCTATTTGCTCGGCCATTTTGGTGGTGGTGGGGTGCCAATCACAGGCCCAAAAACAAAAAGGAGAATATATTGCAGCATTTCTATCCTGCCTCCCAGAGAAAGAGTCTGAACACAATGCTTGGTTTTATGCATGAAGCCTGGTTTTTTTGCAAGGTTTGACTTGTGCATTGATTTTGCAGGAGGAAATGGGCTCTGGTGGGGCTGGTGCACTCCGCTCGGTTTTCGGCATATGGTTTTACAAGTGCAGCCTGCCCCCAAACCACATCAGCTCATCTGTAGACCCATGACAAGCCCACACTCAGGATTCTGAAAAATGCTCATTCAACACACACCCCCATTGCCAGTTCAGGCTGGTTTTGATGGACCCGGGAGCTGCTCCTCCAACTGAGACGAAGTCCTTCTATCTCCCCTGCCCCCATTTAGGGTGCCCATAATTAGCACAAAATAGTTCTCTGACAAACGGGCATCCTTTCCCCACAAGATGCAAAGCTCAAAGCAGAGAGAAATTGGCAGAAGCTTTAGAAAGATATGAGCAACCCATCGCCTGCTTCAGCTTCTTGGTTTCCCCTGAAAACTGCAGAAGTCCTCCCTGCTATTTGCAGTTGACACAAATAGCATCGGTGTTTGCAAAAATAAAAGAAATATATAGGGAAGGGTTTGATCCACCTTCCTTGTTGGGGAAAAGAAGTAGCTGCCACCCCTAAGGCTGAGACACGGAAGGACTGAGATCATTACTCCAGTGTATTTTCGAGAAGCCATTCTCAAATGAATAGCAATCTTTCCCTGAGGTCCCAGGCTCCTTCTCCTTCCCGTCAGAAGTGGAAAGGAGAAAAACCAAATTGAATTGTTTCTAAAAGTGGTGACATGTAATAGCTGCAATCAACAGCCTCTCTGTGGACAGAGGATGATTATCCCTCCCTGTGTGAACCCTCCAAAGCATTTCACTAAATATACCTAACAACAATTCTTCTCAGGGTCGGGAACAAAGCGGCGCTTCCATTGTGCCAGCCCGCAGGTCTGGTTCCCCCCCCCCGACACTCTTGAAACAGCAAACACAACCTGTAATTGTCTGCCTCCTCCAATCCTTCTCATAACTGCCAGTAATTTGAAGCAAGCCTGGAAGATTGGGGTGTGTGTGTCTGCATAGGTTTGATGCCCTCGTGCCGGTTGGAAGAGGGATAAGAAGTCAAGCTTATTTCTTTTCTCTCTGTGTGTTCACAGATCCCAATTTCACTGGGGCAGTCAACCTGCTCCGGATTTCCATCTGAACTTTAGAGGATCTCTCCAAGGTCCTGAATCTTATTTGAGATTCAGCCCCATTAGGGCTGAATTAAGGCCTCCCTCTCTAACTAATGTGCAACACAAACTGCATTTGATTAGAAAGAGCTACGTCCACTGCATTTGACCGGCATGGATCAGGATCCGTCACATATTTTCAAGTTCTTTCAGGTTCTGGTCGGGAAGAAATCAAGGTTCTTCAGAAGATCTGGAAGAGGGAGAAAGCAAAACAGGGGGACGATTCTCTAATCTAATGAATTCCCTAATCTAATCTACCCCTGCTGTTTCTTCCCGCTGGCGTGAATCCAGCAATGGAGTAATTATATGCACCATCCAGACTAGAAGGTCGTATCAGTGCGAAACTTGAGCACACGAGGAGTCGCACATAAACACAACACACACACACACAATTTGGAGAGTCCTAAATTCTTCCAGCCACCGGGTGGCACTATGGATTCACATACACAAACTCGGCTCTTACACTTTCCGCACATATATCTGCACACACAGGGACAAAGAGAAAGGTTTCCACATCGGGCGCATGTCCCAGATTGAGGGCTGGTAAAAGGTGCTTTCTGACATTAAAAATCAACATGCCGCTCGGTGCCACCAAGGTCTGGATGTTTGCACATCCCCAGAATGAGTTCCACGAAAAACTGCCATAACAACAACCGCCCGCTGGGGGCAACCCATCTCTCACTGAAAAGGGCCTCATTTTTT